GTCTGACCATGGTGACGGTTCAGGCAGCCACGGCCGTGCGTTGAACACTGTCGCGCACGAAGGAGCACGTGGTCTCCGCAGGCGTAGCAGTCGTGGCGGCCGTGGTGGACGCAGCCGCCGAGGTAATGGCGGCCGAATTGCNGTGAGCTTGAAGATTTCGCTATCGTCTTCGATAACGACAAGCAGGAGCTGAACGCCCCTGCTGTGGCGTTGCCGAGGGAGCGCCCTGCTGCTGGTGACCAGGAGCAAGACGCGGCTGCACCGGCGCTGCCGGACGGAGTCGTAATATATGATCCGCGAGTATGGGAGTGCGCTGCTGGAGATGAGCAGACGCACGATGTGCCCGAGTAGGCGCTGCCGAATGTGCGCGCCACTGACGACCTGCAGGAATTCGCGGAGCCTGCGGCAGCGACGGACCTCGATCTCACTACCCCTCCTGACTCTCCGGCCGAGAAAGTGACAGAGCTGGTAAGGTACACTAGCGTGTTTCAAGTGGACAAGGAGTCGAAGGATGTTGGTGATACGACGCTCTACATAGATACAGCGGCGTCGAGCCATATGGTAGACGCTGAATCCCGCATGTCCAAGCGTGTGTTCGACCCAGTGGACTGCGCCGTGCGTATCATCGGGTCGTGCGGAACATCTAGNCCTGCTGCTGGTGACCAGGAGCAGCACGTGACTGCACCGGCGCTGCCGGACGGAGTCGTAATATATGATCCGCAAGTATGGGAGTGCGCTGCTGGAGATGAGCAGACGCACGATATGCCCGAGTAGGCGCTGCCGAATGTGCGCGCCACTGACGACCTGCAGGAATTCGCGGAGCCTGCGGCAGCGACGGACCTCGATCTCACTACCCCTCCTGACTCTCCGGCCGAGAAAGTGACAGAGCTGGTAAGGTACACTAGCGTGTTTCAAGTGGACAAGGAGTCGAAGGATGTTGGTGATACGACGCTCTACATAGATACAGCGGCGTCGAGCCATATGGTAGACGCTGAATCCCGCATGTCCAAGCGTGTGTTCGACCCAGTGGACTGCGCCGTGCGTATCATCGGGTCGTGCGGAACATCTAGCGCTACCAAAAAAGGCACCCTAAAGTTTGGAATTCGTAGTGGGCAAGGCAACATTGTGACGGTGGCACTGGACGTCCTCCTGGTTCGTAATCTAGGAGCGAATATTCTGTCGGTTGGAGCGTTGGCCGAAAAGGGGGTTAAGTGCGATTTAATGTCTATCCCTCCGGCGCTCCGACGCGGCGACCAGGCCTTTCCGATATCAATCGCTGTGCCTCGCATGTACGTGATAAACGTCATCATTGACGATCTCAACATGGACGATGTAGAAGTGTATCGCACCAAGGTCGACGCTCACCTGTGGCACCGTAGGATGGGCCACTGCAATCCGCGTGCACTGCAGCAGCTGGCGGAAATGGACACCACTGGAGTAAAGTTCCATCACAACATCGAGTCAGGTGACTGCAGCGTATGCGCGGTCGGGGATAGCAAGAAGGGCAGTCACCCTCCATCTGATCACCCCCACTCTGAAACCCGGCTAGAGATTATGTGCGCCGACGTGTGCGGGAAGCACCCCATCAAGTCGTTTGGGGGCTGCCAGAGTACCGTGATGTTCACTGACGTGTTTTCTCGCATGAGGTTCGGCTTCCCAATCACGACAAAAGATGAAACGGCGGAGTCTCTCCACAAATTTGTCCGGGAGGTAGCCGACCCGATCGGGCAAAGCATCGGCACGATGCACTGCGATGGTGCAGGAGAATTCCAGGGCAGATTCCTGAAGCTGTGCAAGTCCCTCGGAATTACGGTCGAAACTAGCGCTCCATACACTCCACAGCGGAATTCCATCGCAGAACGTGGATTTGGCACCATCACCGGAACTACTCGCAAACTAATGCTGGGCGCACCGCACCTTCCCAGCGAGCTGTGGGCTGAAGCATTCCAGACCGCCATCTATCTCAAGAATCGCACACCAACTGAAGTCCTGGGCGGCAAATCCCCACTCGAGGGGGGTAAGCCGCTAGGTAATCTGCTGCACATTCACGAATGGGGTTCGATGGCCTTCAAACACGAGGAAGCGCGTTTCCGTCCCAACAAGCTTGCGGCCAGGGCCAAGAAGATGTATCTGGTAGGCTATAATACCAAGGGTAGGTCGTACAGACTGTGGGATCCTGCGGAGCCTTCTAAAATCACCAACTCTGCCGAAGTATCCTTCCGTGAAAAGGAGATGCGCGACGTGGTTAAACCCAAAGTAGGGCGCGATCCGTTTCCTGTGCCAAACACGACAATCTACCAGCCTTGTATGGCAGAATCTAACGAAGAAGCAACTAACGACGATAGCGATGAAGAAGAAGACCAAAGTACTGCAGAGTCGACACCATCTGTTCCAGAACCACGACGGAGCGCCAGGGCATCTGCACTGCCGCAAAGGTTGAATCTATTTAGGGTGACCTCGGAGGAGGATGCTTATCAGCAGGTGGAACAAGCTCTTCTGACAGGGGGTGTACTCGGAAACGTCGGGACGGGCAACCCTGGA